TAGACAGGCCTATCTGATTGTGTGTTGTTAAACTCGATCTGCTCGCGTTGACGACAACAGCTTTACGTCACATAGTCGCCCTCCCCCGAGTTCACCACTAGTCCCCCGAAAGACCTGGAGTGGTCGCTGCCGCGTGGGGTACTAAAAAGAGGACGGGCCAATGCTGGACACCTTTGCTTGCGGCAAATCAACGTGTTCCTCGCTAGAGTAACGATGACATTCTAATCTTTGTGGCATGGGCAGTTGCTAGCCGTACAGATTACTAAATCACCCATCAGAACGTAGTTTAGACTGAAAATACACGAATTTCGCGGGGATTTCATTCCGAGTAGCACATATACTTCAAATCTGAGTAACCCTGTAAATTCTTTTATATCTACTTTAAAGCCTTATAAATCCTCTATCTGCTCTTACAAACCGTGTCTTGTAACGTTTAATTATACGTAAGAAAATAATGAACATATTAAAATCTCATGAAATATCGAAGATCCACAGAATGCATCCTAGTAGAAAACGCGCTAATTATCAAGTCCGTGTAAAGCAAACAGCGAGGTGTCGGGGAATTACTGTTCTCTTTTTATGCCACCGTTACATCATCATATATATGTGAATTTTGGACTCATATGACGTACAGACTAGAAAAGGTTTTCGGATCACGTCAGTTACTGGATTCAATTTTATCTCCGCAAGGGAACTATAACAAAATAAGCCCAAGCGCTATTATACTGCACTAAAAGCCGCGGATTGCAAGTTTCGCAGCCGCATTGATAGCAAGAACCTCCTCTGGAACGAGAGTCAGGATATAGTCGTGCTTTTTGAATTTGGCTATCATGGCCCTCCGGGACAGTGATTCTGAAACTGAAAACATTCGCGCCTGGTGATCGAGTCCGGTGCCAGGATGGTTGAATTTTATGCATTACGGCCGCTCTGGTCGTTTTGACTACTTATCGGCATCGAAAATCTGTAACTCGAGGGAGGACAAGTGAGGTAGATGCAACACGAGACTGTTTCGTTTTAAAAAATACACGCGTAGTCTTTTACCATGTCTACCTCCTGGGACGGTTATATGGATCGCCACTTAAAACGGTCCAACTATAATTTAGCCACCTTTAGATGACCATAATTATAGCGTACCTTCCTGTTTTATTTTGTATTTCAAAGGGCAAGATTTGTGTTAGGATTTCAGGCTTTCTCAATGTTTAAGTCCATAGAAGCTTTGCTACCTCGTTGAGGATGAGCTGATATTAGACAACTGAAAGTGATGCAACAGGATTTAATTACTAGCACGACAGTTCCAAAGTGCTTTTTGGACGTAGAAGTCGTTTAGGCTCTCCACTGTCGTGTAAACCTACGCCCATCCTCCCCCATCAAGGGCGAGCATCTGATACTCAGAATCTGCTCTGTCGAGAGCACAATCTGTCAGGTTTAGGGACCAAAGCAGATGGTTATTTTCGCGCTGACCAACCAGTATATACTTAAAAAATTGGGTTCAGTATTTGGCAGGAACATTTCTCTTCGGTATTATATTTTGGAGTGTAAGGCGCAGTTCCCGCGGGAGATCTTCTTGGAAAATATTCCTTAAAAGTGAACTTATCAGATTCTGCTAGGTTCTATCCAGCTAAGCTTTCTAGCCGCATAATGTTCAGGCCTGTGAACTATCAGTAAGTAATTTACATGATGCGCAGGCGATGGCTTTTTCATACGTGCAACGAGACTGCTTGCAAGCACAGGGGTCGGAGTTCTCTGTGTTTCCGCAAGACCGCGGTGCGGCTGTGAGATAAATGAGCCACTTGGCATCTCAAACATGATTGGATATCTTAGCAAAAGTATTGCTCGTTTTACAGTCGTTTGGCAAATATCTCACTCATAACTGAATTAAAAATCCGATCGACTGAAAAACATCCGGACATTTTGACCGTCGGCTTCGACGAGGTCCACCGTGTGACCACAGGGATGGAGAGTTGCATGTGATCTAATTTTTAGTGGTAGTCGACTTCCGCTGGATCAACCACCCTCTCCTCCCCCCATATGTGACTGATGACATGACCTACACAAGAAGACAGGTGCCATTTTATGATTGAAAAGGCAACTGGCAAACCTGTCTTTTTTGATTCATAATCAGCTCCCTTTAATTACATGGAATGGACTTGTATGTGCTTTGTGGAGAAAGGAGTTAGCCACACTCTTCGGTCCTATATCCCCTGTATGACGAAGGCAGCATGTTGAAGACGGTGGTGGGCAAAGTCACCTTCTTTAGCAATCCGGTAAAATGTGCACTAATTATCCTTCTTTATTGGGCCTCTAAGAGCCTTAATTCCTTTCACGAATTCAGCTGAAGAAATATTACGAATATAGTGTGCGTGTTGTTCCGAAAGCTTTCTAAATGACCATTCATGCATCGCCATTTTCTATCGAGGAAAAAATGCTGAACTAAAACAGTGAGAAGCAATTATCAAGGTTTAAAAGCAAAACGCTTTTTACTCATTTACTTAAAGTTCTAAGAATCAAATTTCTGAGGAAGAAGAAGAAAATGCGATCACTGGAACAAGAATCTTATTTTTCTGACGTTTCGGATTCTGTCGAGAGTACTTACTCATAGGTAACCGTAGAGTGTCGTGAGACATGCTCAGATTTCGCGGCATTTATCGCTCGTAGCGACGACAGCAAACATAATCGTCGCGCAATTATCAAGCCCGCATCATATACGGACAACGAAATAGTGGCAATTAATGACTCGAAAGCGAACTGTCAAGCCATCACGGCACCAATTACGACCCCAAGCTGATAATTATGGTACGCATGCAGATGGCCGCTACGAACTATAAATTCTGCGCAATCTGTGCATGCATCACACCATTCTACGGTTACCTATGATTAAGGATTCTCGACGAAATCCGAAACGTCGAGAAAATAAATTTTTTGTTCGAGTGATCGCATATTCTTCTTCCGAACTGCTTTCTGGAACTCTCATATTCGCTTCTACTGGCAAGTAACTTTCTATAAACCCCAAGGAGTCATCGTAAAGATCAGTAGCAACTTGGTTTGCTTAGATTCCGATGCATTTTTCTTGAGTCTAGAGCCCAATAGATTGCTGTTAGTCAGTTCCCGAGCTGCTGTCTAAATGATCTCGTGGCATTTCCATGTTTAAATTAACATTAAACAAACTCTTATTGAGTTTGCTGTAGAAGAAACTTCAGTACAGGAACTGAATTTTTACATGCTATCGGGGTCTCCCAAGCTGGATGCCGAAAAACGCACTTACCCAACTTACTGGGCCAGAAATGAAGAAAAAGTGTTTCCTCATGTAAGATTGCAATACCGAGGATCGAATTTGTTTTCAGCACATCAGGATGCTGACCAACTGTGTATCATATTACAAAAACACACTCGTAAAAAGACTACTTGAGCAACTTTTGTGTTGTATGAAGTATCCACCTATACATCAGTGTACGAAACTACGCCTTACTTGTTTTCTGCTTAAAAATTGCACTCCGTCGTAGGCCGTAGAGCATTTAATGACAAGAACTGTTTGCTTGGGTGCTCCCCTATCTGCAATTATAGTAATTCTAACTTTGACATATACGAGGAAACATAGATTGTACGGAAGCATGTTATAAGCGGTGTATGGCAGTTTCACGAAAACTTAGATTAATATATAATTCTCCTCAAGGGTAAAGTTAAATGTGCGTAATCTGTGAGCCATGGAAACAGGTGCAACCGCAAGCAGGAGCTCAAAACTCGGCTGTTAGTAACGGTTTAAAATCCAGAATAAAACTTGGTAGCAAACGTAATAGGCTATGAAGAGTGTACAGCCTAACGTTTATTTGATTCGCAATGACATACAGAATCAATGCGAGCTAGTCGCACAAATCAAGCACTCTTTTAAGGACTGTAACACTTCCGATAAATGGCGCGTTTAACATACAAATGTGTGTATCTAGTTATATAAAAAAGCATAGGGAGTATAGCTTATGCCAACCAACATTGCAATACCACTTATGTTAACTCTCCTAAGCCCACTTATACTTTAGAATTTGTTTCATATTTTTAGCAGTGCAGTCAGATGGATGAATGCCTAACGCGCTAAAAAAACTTTTTTTTACTTTGACCCAAAGCTTGCAAGCTACTTTGTAAATTTATATATACTACTAACATGAAATACTTTAAGGCTTAGGGGTGATCTTGAGTGTATTTTACTTTGCCAAAACGAATTTCGACCGCATACGTTTCGTTTTAAACATCAGTTTCGAGGAAGAAAACATCCGAAATTTCCTCTAAAACACATTTTACTGACCAATTAGGAGACAAATTATAAACCAGCGGCGTGGAGACCTCCGATAAGGATTCAGATACAGTATTCTATCATACATTATCCAATGTGCAAGAAGATTTTATTGGGAAGATTATCAAAAAGCAGTAATTTAATTTGCAATAGGAGACATTTAGCAAGTACGATACACAATTTTCAGCTCGTCAGTCAAAGCAGACCATGAGCACCTATTTTTTTCAAAAAGGCCTTCAGCTGGACTTCAAATAGGGTACAGTTAACTTTTATGCGGAACTGAGTCAGCTCATTCAGGGCGACCCTTTGTTAAAAATGAAGCAAACGCAATCACTCTCACTGCACCTTCAAATATTTTTTCTTGTGGATGGAAAATCAGGGAGAATTGTCCTTGATACTATTTCGTTGCTTACACAACTCAAATGAAGCCATTCCCATTGCTTTTCTCATTGAGAATATGTACGTTTCGTAACAAATTGATGTAAAACATCCGCAAACGTTTAGTGATGTCATAATATGTTGCCTCGATTGCCACAGAACACCTCGCTTATTGACTCGAAGTTTATGAAATTGGTTTACCTGGACCAAGAACCTATTTGCCACGAAGACCAAGCAAGAAGACGGTTGCAAGTTTTCAGCAAAAGCACGTGCTTCAAAACTACGGAACTTATCAGGCGATATGTTCAGAAATACTTACTTTCGTCGAAGCAGGTCATGTGGAAACCACCGGAATAAAATTCCAGTCCAATGATCGCAAATATTGTGATGGCAAAGAGCAGCAATAGGCCAATTTGCAGCAGGGGTGCCATTGCTCTGATTATCGATTTCAGCACGATCTGAAGACCTAAAATTTACAAAATAATACAAACTAACTTTTTAAATGTAAATGTGTTAAACGGTTTGGAATTATCAAGGTTTCCCATTAACTATCATAAAGGTGTTATATTTCAAATGATTTCAAAATTATTCTTCAAAGGTCCTACGTGTTTATGCGTATTTACATTAAACTCCTGTGTCCACAAACAAATCAGATTTTAAGGCTTTACAATTGTAGTTTAGGTTTTAAATTCAGCACAAGGTGATAACGTAAATGAAACATGCGTAGAAACATAGAAATTATTGATCGGAAACTTGAAGTTGTTTTTCTGTCAGAATAGTAGGCCTTCGGCAGTCTTACCAGTGAAATATGTTTACATAATTATTCGTCCGTTGTGAAAAGGCCTATACTTCGCATCCAGTTTCATCATGCAGCTATTAGATATTCAAATAGTCAAGATAGGTGAACGAACGTTTTCGATTAATTCATCATCAGGCGTGTAA